ACATTTCGGGCCTTTACCCTTTTTTTTCTGAAGAAGGGTCTAGGCCCAAAAAGTCAGCCTTCCTGCTCCTCTGATGCTGCTTGGCCTGCTGTGTTCATCCAGCTCTACACCTTGTTATCTCAGAATCTCCAGCATCTGCAGTTCCTGCTATCTCTTGTAAAAAGATGTTTTCTTTTATCATCGCTGGTTCCTTTGCCAATTGTTTCAATGTCTGTGCATGTTCCAATGTCTGTGTGTGTGTTTACATGTTGTAGTGATAATGCAGGTATTATTTGCTTCAGTTTGTGGTTTAGAGCAAAATCTGCCTGATATTTCTCCACTTACATCTCACTCCTGGAGTGAGCTGCAACTTTACCAAAGCAGAATAGACCCAACGACTGACTTTATTTTCACTCAGTTTTTGACAGAGGCAATGATGACCCAGCTGCCATAAGCAATGCAGCCCCTGGGGCAGGGGAAGTGATGGTGTGACCCTGTTCATTTCCATCACAAACTAGCAGTTCCTGAGGCACACAGGGATCGTCAACAGAACAGAACAGACCAGAGATGTCATCAGCTTAAAAACAAGCTTAGGGCTGAATAAGACTGACTCCCAAAACAGTTCATGACAATCTTTTTGCAGTTTGTTTGGCTTAAACATTGATTAGGAGGTAGGTTGGAAGATACATTGAGTATCTCAGTGACTGTTTCTTGTCAAGTCAGGGCTATGCCCTTTGACCTCTGCCAGTGACTGCACAGTTTTTTATAGATATCAAGACTAAATTTGAAAACAATGCTAACTTCTATTTAAACAGCATTTTTAACATAACAAAAAGCCCCAGGCATATTAGATTTAAAAGAGGCTTAATCCACATTAGGAGATATTTTTATTTTACTTGTACAGTTTGAAAGGTACTGTGCAAGGACCCTCAGTGAATTGCTGCAGAGTGTCTTGTAGATGGCACACACTGCTGTGACCATGCATCACTGGTGGAGAAAGTGGATGTTGAAGGTGGTGGAGGGAGTAACTCCACCTTTAACAGTCACTCCTTCACTTAGTCAATGGAAGGAATGTTAAAGGGTAACTTGAGGAAGAGAGAGAAAGCTTGAGGAAAAAATTCCAGACCTTTATGGGGGAAAGCTTTGTCTTTGTGATCCATGTGGTTAGGTTTAATGCTAAATCTGTCTCAAACTAAATAATCCAACAAATTGGCTAAAATGCCCACAGGATTGGAAGAGACCAGAATGAGAGGTATCCCATTTATGACAGAGATGAGAAGAAATGTTTCTCTCTCTGTTCAGCTTGCAGATATGAAGACAGTTCAGTGCACAGTGATACCATTATTAGCTGATTGTCCCTGGGCCCTCACTATGTGGAAAACCGTGTGGAAAACTGTGTGGACAGCATACACAAATCCTCAGGCTTCCTCGTCTGCTTCTTAAGACCTCCGCATTGAATTATTTTGCCCGTCTCTGTTTCCTCTAATATCCTGGGTGGCTTGTTAAAGAGAAATACAGACAAAACAAACCCCACTGGTCAAAGTCCCCACTTCTACAACTGGTCATCACACAGACCATTCACTACAAACAGAAAAGTCTTGCTTTGAAAACCTAGGCAGAATGCCTTACTGTAGCCATGTTGAGTTACAGCCTGAGATTTAATCAAAGGTTCTGAGGACTTCTACATAAGATTTAGGAGCAGGAATAGATCTCCCAGTCCTTCACCCCAGCACTGACATTCAATAAGATCATGGTTAATCTTGTTGTGGTCCCAGCTCCACCTTCCGATCAGATCCTGTTGATTTGTTGCGCTGTACAGGACATTGGTTAGGCCACTTTTGGAATACTGATTCAATTCTGCTCTTCCTACTGTAGGAAAGATGTTGCGAAACTTGAAAGGGTTCAGGAAAAATTTACAAGGCTGTTGCCAGGCTTGGAGGATTTGAGCTATAGGGAGAGGCTAAATAGGCTGGGGCTATTTTCCCTGGAACGTTGGAGGCCGAGGGGTGATTTTTTTAGAGGTTTATAAAATCATGAGGGGCATAGAAAAGATGTATAGCCAAGGTCTTTTCCCCGGATAGGGGAGTCCAAAAATAGAGGACATAGCATTAAGGTGAGAAGGGAAAGATCTAAAAGGGTCTTAAGGAGCATTGTTTTCATGTAGAACTTGGTGCATGTATGGAATGAGCTGCCAGAGGAACTGGTGGAGGCTGGTACAATTACAACATTTAAAAGGCATTTGGATGGGTATATGAATAGGAAGGGTTTAGAGGGATGTGGGCCAAATGCTGGCAAATGGGACTAGATTAATTTAAGGTATCTCATTGGCGTGGACATGTTGGACAAAGGGTCTGTGTCCGTGCTCAACATATCTATGACTCTATGACTATATTTCTCTGTCTAGCAAAAAAATCCTATCAATTCAGCCTTGAATAAATGACCCAGCCTTCGCTGCTTTCTAGAGAATTCCACACTCTAATGACCCTCAAGAGAAGAATTTCTCCTCATCCATGTCTTAAAAGGGAGGCATCTTATTTTTAGTCTATGTTGCCTCATTTTAGTCTCCCCCAAAGGGAAAACATCCTCTGGGTGTCGTCCCCTTCAGAATCTTAATTGTTTCACTAAGGTCACCTCTCATTATTCTCGAATCCAATGGACACTGGTCCAATCTGTTCAACCTTTCTTCAGAAAAGCCCTTCATATCAGGAACCTTCCCTGAACAGATTCTAACACGTTCATTTCCTTTTCCAAATAAGGGGAACAAAACTGTGCACATTGCTCCAGATGTGATCTCAGCAAGATCTGTATAGCTGCAGTAAAATATTCCCACTTTTATGTGAAATTTTAAGTGGGTTCTGAAGAAGAGTCACCCTGGGCTCTACACATTAACTCTGTTCTCTCTCCATAGATGCTGCCAGGCCTGCTGAGTTTCTCCAGCACTCTCAGATCTTCAGCATCTGTGGTATTTTGCTCCTATTCCCCATTTTCATATTCCTTTCCCTTGCAATAAATGCCAATATTCCATTTTGCTTTCTAATAACTTGCTGTATCTGCAGACTAACTTTTTGAGAATTATACACCATGTCACCCAGATCCCTCTGTACCTCAGATTCACAATTTCATGCCGTTTAAATAATATTCCGCTTTTTTATTCTTCCTGTCAAACTGGGCAAGACCACATATCATAGAATCCATACAGTGTGGCAACAGTCCATTCGGCCCAACAAGTCCATACCGCCCCTCCGAAGAGCATCCCACCCGGACCTATTCCCCTATCCCTGCATTTCCCATGTCTAACCAACCTAACCTAAACATCCCTGGGCACTATGGGCAATTTAGCATGGCCAATCCACCTACCCTGCACATCTTTGGACTGTGGGAGGAAACCAGAGCACTCAGAGGAAACCCACGCAGACACAGGGAGAATGTGCAAACTCCACACAGACAGTTGCCCGAGGCTAGAATCGAACCTGGGTCCCTGGCGCTGAGCCACCGTGTCACCCCATGTTATAATATATAATATAACATAATATATCCATGTTATAAAGCATGTGTCAATAGTTTATCACTTAACGTATCTATATCCCTTCAAGGACTTTCTGTCTCCTCTTGACAACTTACTTGCTGACAAACCTCGTTGTTATTGGAAAACGTATAAAGCTCCCAAACATTTGGTCCTGTCATCCAAATTGTTGATTATCAATGGTTAAGGAGCCAACACTGATTTCTGCAGAACTCCACTTGTTACAGCTTGCCAATCCAAAAAGATACACGTAAAAAATAAACAATTGTGGAAAATAAAAGAGTACCTTTAGAATAACAGATACCTGGAACTGAGTTGCAGACTGAAATCTATTTGAGGAGTTCAGGGGATTTATGTATGCAGTAACAGGTACCTGGCAGTGAGTTACAGGCTGGAATGTGTGGACACCATTCAGCCTCCTGAATCTGTTCCAACCGCTTAATGAGATTCAGATATAATCTGTGAACAACCCTGTGTGAGCACCTTGCCCCCATTATCCTCAATACATTCAGTTAACTAGAATTGATTAACGCAAGTTTTAAAATTAACATTTGATTTCACATATACTGCTGTCCAAACCTTGTGTGTGTTGAAGTGTTTTCTAACCTCCCTGCTGAAAAATCTGGTTCAAATTTTTAGACAATGCATCCTAGACTTGGACTCTCCAACCAGTGGAAATATTCAGACTCTATCTGTTTATTTCCTTTAACATCTTGGAAACTTTGTCCAAACCATTCCTTATCCTCTGAATTCCAGGGAATAGAATCCTAGTTTGTATAATCTCTCCACGCAGCTTTATCCTTGGAATACAGGATCACTCTGGTCAATCTACACTGCACTTTCTAAGTGAATTATAGACTAGGATCAAAATGTTGAGTTTTCACAAAAGTGTGTAAAACACCTTGTTAACCTTCTCTCCATTGTGACATTTGGTGGCTACATGTTGACTGGAGACTAAGTACTAATTTGTTAAAGTTTAGACAAGGCTAGTAACTAATTATATCCCTTTTGAGCCAGTTTTATTTTTAAACAGCAGAGGCTATTTTTAAAGTTGAGTCTGTCAAGTGTGTTTTCGAAGAGGTCAACCCACTTGACTGCACAGGAGGCAGATTGCAGTAGAGTCACAGTGAAAGGTTACTGTCCCAGTGCAAAGCCCTGGCGTTAAGTTTGAAATAATTTTGGATTGTCTAACTGTCAATGTTTGTGAATCTGCTCAGAGACAGTGATCAAGATTTAATTCGGGATGAACAGCAGAAGCTGGTCTTATCATTGACCCTTACATCCCTTGAAAAACTAAATTAAAAATTGAGGAATTCTCAATATATTTGTCTCAGAGATGTTATGAAAATTACACAATCCCCCTCCTAAATACAACACAAGAAGTTTCTCTTTCTAAATGATATATATATTCATTATAGCTGTATAACATACCTTACGTGTAACTTGGAAATAAATGAGCAAGTGTGTGTCTGAGTGAGTGAGTGTGCAAGTGAATGAGTGAGGAAGTGAGCGTGTGTGTGTGAGAAAGAGAGAGTGTATGTGTGTGCGTGTGTGTGTGTATGCGTGTTTGTGTGTGTAAGTGAGTGAGTTCGTATGAGCAAGTGAGTGTGAGCAAGTCAGTGATTTGATTTGATTTATTTTGTCACATGTACCAAAGTACAGTGAAAAGTTTTGTTTTGCAAGCAGTACAGGCAGATCATTCCATACAAGGACATACAGATTACAAGGTGATTGAACAGAGCAAGGAATATAAAGTTACTGCTGCATAGAAGGTGTACAAAAAACAAGATCAACATTAGGTTTGAAAGTTGAGAGGTCCATTTAGAAGTCTAATAACAGTGGGGAAGAAGCTGTTTTTGAACCTGTTGGTATGTGTGTTTAAGCTTTTGTTTCTTCTTTCTGATGGAAGAGGTTGGAAGAGAGTATAATGGGGCTGGGAAAGTCTTTGATAATGTTGGCTGCCTTTCCATGGCAGTGAGAAGTGTAGTGGACTCAATGGATGGGAGGTTGGCTTGTGTGATGGTCTGGTCTGTGTACACATCTTTCAGTGGTTTCTTAAGGTCCTGGGCAGAGCAGTTGCTGTACCAAGCCGTGATGCATCTGGATAGAATGCTTTCTTTGGTGCATCTGTAAAAGTTGGTGAGAGCCGTTATGGACGTGCCAAATGCCCTTAGCTGCCTGAGGAAGTGTATAAATGAGTGAGTGAGAGTCAGTCTACTAGGTCTCCTGTCAGAGGGAGCTCTCTTCTGCGCTCTCAGTCCAAAGCCAACACTCTACATTGGCATGAGTAGTTATTTATGAATAAATGATTCATTTTCCAATCTTTTCTCAGAGTCCCAGAGGGCTGTCGACTCTTGCTTGAGAATTACTCCCATTATTGGTCTCCGTGCCCGGGAGAAGGTATTGGGAAATTTTGCTACAGTCATTTATTTACAGGGTGTGGGCATTGCTAGCTAGACCAGCATTTATTGCCCATCTGTAATTGCCCTTGAGAAGGTGGTGATGAGCAAAAACTGATTTGCTTGTGAGGATATTTCAGGGGGAGCAGTTAAGGGCTAACCACATTGTTGTGGGTATGGAATCACGTGTAGACTAGACGGTTTCCTCCCTGAGAGCGCAGAAGAGAGCTCCCTCTGACAGGAGACCTAGTAGACTGACTCTCACTCACTCACTTATACACTTCCTCAGGCAGCTAAGGGCATTTGGCACATCCATAACGGCTCTCACCAACTTTTACAGATGCACCAAAGAAAGCATTCTATCCAGATGCATCACGGCTTGGTACAGCAACTGCTCTGCCCAGGACCATAAGAAACCACTGAAAGATGTGTACACAGACCAGACCAGCACACAAGCCAACCTCCCATCCATTGAGTCCACTACACTTCTCACTGCCACGGACCTGTGGACCTGAGGGGCTGGTTGGACCAATAAATGGGCAGGATCCCACTGAACACTCAGTGAGGACAGGGTCAGGCACAAACATGAGCACCTCCTGTGGTCAAACAGATACATTCTGATTGGCTGAGCAGTTGGCCAAAGTGCTCAAGTGGGACAGCACTGAGTAAATGTGGTTTCTCAGTAAAGCAGAATGAAGGTGATGTCGTGCAGAGAGAGGAAGATGGTGAGACTGTCCTGGCTAGTCCTGTAATGTGTTGCTTTCTCAAGTTTGTATCTTGCACCATCCATTTTCGATGAGTCAATCTCATGATGTACCTCTGATTCTTGTCTTCCGTACAGGGAGGACCACATTTGGCAGTTCTGATTACCCTCCACAGGACATTAGTATCCAGGGACCTGGCATTGCTGCCCAGCATTGCTGCATTGAAAACCGAAATGGAGTAATAACACTCTATCCATGTGGGAACCTGTGCATGGTGGATGGAGTTCAGGTGACCCAACCGAAACGTCTGTCCCAAGGTAAGTAGGAAATGATCAGCAAAAAATAGCAACTCAATGCACTACTTGTTGAAGAAATAAGTTCCATTTTAATAACTTCACAACCTTAGCATTCCCAAAGAGCATCACAGCTTCTGAACATAAACGAGTGAAGATTTTTTATTTATATGTCTAAGAGATGTGACAGGGCTAGCGCATGTTGCTGATCAATACAAACAGAAAGCACTGGAGAAACTCCACATCTGTGGACAGAGAAACAGTGCTAACATTCTGAGACTCAGAACACTGAGTTTTTTCCCCCCTTTATTCATTCACGGGATGAGGGCATTGCTGGCCAGGCAGCATTTATTGCCCATCTCTAATTGCCCAGAGATAACCACATTGTTGTGGGTCTGGAGTCACCTGTAGGCCAGACCTGATAAGGATGGCAGTTTCCTTCCCTAAAGGACATTAATGAACCAATTGGGCTTTCCCCCCACCGACAATTGGCAATGGAATTAATGGCCATCATTCGGCCCTTAATTCCAGATATTCAAATTCCACTATCTGCCATGGCTGGATTTGAACCCAGGTCCCCAGAACATTATCTAGGTCTCTGGGTTAACAGTCCAGTGATAATACCACTAGGCCATCACCTCCCCACTGATGCTGCCAGACCTGCCGAGTTTCTCCAGCACTTCCTGTTTTTGTTGTTCTGTCTAAAGTATAGCGCTCTGTCCCTTAAAGTATCTTCAGCTGCTTTCTGCATTAAAGGTGCAACACAGACAAGTTTTTGATGCTGACACAGTAAGAAGCTTGGTGTCACATATTTGTGTTGTCGCATTTTACAATTTGTTGATGGGATGTGGGTCTCATGGTTAGGCCAGCATTTATTGCCCATCCCTAATGCCCTTGAGGTGGTGGTGAGTTACCTTGTTCAATTAATGTAGTCCTTGAGATAAAAGTAGATCCACAGTGTCCTGAGGGAAAGTGTTCCAGGATTTTCACCCAGTGACACTGAAGGAGAGGTGATATATTTCCAAGTCAGCATGGTGAATGGTTTGAAGGGGAAATTGCAGGGGGTGCTGTTCTCATGTATCGGCCGCCCATGTCCATCTAAATGGAAGTGGTCATGTGTTTGGAAGGCGCTATATGAGGATGGGTGGTGAATTTCTGCGGTGCACCCTGTGGATAGTACACACTGCTGGAAAAGAAAAATGGAACCTGCTGAATTATTCCAGAATTTTTATTTTTAATTTCAGATGTCCATCATCTGCTGTATTTTGCTATTGTATTTAATGGAAAAAAATTGCCCAGAATTCTGATCTAATTCTTTCTGGTGATATTGGCTTTGTACAGAAGTATTAATTCTTTGTTTACTGATCTGCATTTTGTATATTGGATTTGAATGAGTAGTTGTTTTAGGTAATTTATATGATAATTAATTCCTTGCATGAATGAATCAAGCTTATTCTCTCACGCACTCTAACAGAGGTGATTGACTTACAATATTATTAATGAGGTCAGGAGGATGTTTTATTCAATGTTCTTTCACAGAGTCACTTCCTCATCTGGAAAACAAATAACTTACAATCGGTTCATTGAATGTACCTACCTCAAATTTCACAAAGCAGCCACAACATCATACTCATGAATAGATGAAAATTGGGTGAATTTTAAGTTGCTTTTGTCATCCCTCAGACTCTGAAAGTCTCGCATCATAAGAAATTCACTCAGATGCCATGTTGCCAGTTTGCTAAGGGTAACACTAAGGTGCTTCATCAGTGTACCTGAGACCAAAGAATAAGAACAGCATCTTAAAATTCTGCTGCTACAATCCACAAACTGTTACATTTAGTTATTTAATGGGATGTGGGTGTCACTGGAAAGGCCAGTATTTATTGCTTGTCCAGAATTGCTCTGTAAGTGAATGGCATTCTCAGGCCATTTCAGAGGGTAGTTAAAATTGCTATTCGTCTGGTGACGCACGTGGGATAGATAGATCACATTCATTTAAGGGGAACCTAATTAACAAAGTTGTTGGGATTTGAACCCATGTGCCCAGTTTTACCAACCTGAGCCACTGGATTACTGATCCAGTAACAGTATCACAATGTCACCTGATGTTGATGGGCTGGTAAGATTGGCGGGGAGGGGAAGGGATGGGGTGTTGTCCCTTAAGTGGTAAGGGAGGGGGAGCTGTTAATGTATCTAAGGGCTTTGGTAATTCTTCAAAAACTTGTAGTAAATATGGAAGCCCATGCTGTCAGCTGCTCTGAAGAAGGGTCCCAACCCGAAACGTCAGCTTTCCTGCTCCTCTGATGCTGTCTGGCCTGCTATGTCCCTTCAGCTCCACACTGTGTTATCTCAGACTCCAGCATCGGCAGTTCTTACTATCTGTTGCTGCAAAGTGCCTTGCCTGTGATACCAAGTGGCTGCAGTCGGGTGGTATAATGTTGGGTACAATGTTGGGTATAATGTTGGGTATAATGTT